GAGCTAGCGAGTGAGCGAAGGAGAAAGAGAGAAAGAGAGAGAAAGAGAGAGAGAGAGCAGACACGGAGACGGCGCATAAACGTATAATTGGCCGCACTTAAATCTCTATAACGCGGTAGTAAAAATGCGCGGTACGCCGCGTAAATCAACACGCGGACGATATGGCTTCTACCCCCATCGCCGCCGCCGTCGACGTCCGTCGCGCCTGTTCCACCGCCGAGAGCGTCCTCGTAAACGCGTTGTATAGCACGCGCGAGAGTACACGTGTGAATGAACGCACTCGTGCTACGCACGAGCATATGTGTACCCATCGGTAGAGTTCCGTGCTACCGTTCTGTACCACGCATCGTTCGTAGAATACTCCCTCGTCGATATATGTGATCATCGTGTGCGGGATGCGTAGGTGGCCTTGTGCTATCAATTTCTACGGTGAGGACGTAAATGATATAGGTATTTGTATCGAGATATACGAATAATCATATCCATTGATTATAACTACGATAATGGCAGAGATATAATTTTGCATTGCGACATAATAGCAGGATAATCAGCTTTCTGAGGATATTAAATATGCTACGGGAAAATATATTTTAAATATTTTTAAAAAAATTTTTTAGATATAGTAAAAGTATTTTGAATAAGAATATTGCTGAATTTTATGTACACAAAGCTCATATTTGTCTCGTGTCAGAACGTTCAGCGTGGGTCGTCGATCGCAATCTTGATCCCATGACGTGCGTTCGATTGCGACGACGAGAAACGACATTACATTATCGATGACAGCTTATGTGGGCGGATGATCGCGCGTGAAATACCAGTGCAGCTGGATTACATATGTGCATCAACGTATCTAAAGCCGACTATCTCTAAAGTTAAATAAGATTTTAACGACCTGTCAAAGGAAACTGTGTTATACATTTTCAATGAATTATCGCGCTCATAATATATTATTTTTCTAACGCGGCCTTGCAGATATTTTTCTTACGCGCTAACGATAAATTATTACGTTTCCAGGTGTGTTCTAGAACTTGTTTCAATTACAATTCTTCTGTACAATTTTTCCGTTTTCAATATATAAATCGGTAGACTGTGTTTAGATAATGGTGCTCGCCATTACGAAATTGAATTAATCGCGCAAGAAGTTATTGCGCGATTAAAAAGAATTCGGTCCGAGTCGGCGGGCACGATGAACGATACTCCGACGAAGGAAACCATTTTCTTTCGCCGGGACACCAATAGGTCGCCGTCGTACGGAACCGCACGGAACAGCACGGTACGACCGGTACGCTACATTAACCCGATTCAGCGAGTAAATTAACTGCAATCAGAGGGACGTTCCCGTTAGCCATTCCGTTATTCCGCTAGCCACCCGCCGTTCGTTCTATGAGCTCGCAGGCCGCCCTATTCGACTTTGCGGGCGCGCCATTAACGGGCTTCTGAGTCGAAGAGAGGGTGGACATCTAACGTCGTTTTTGTCGTATACGCGCAACGACCGCCGCCAATGGGTCTTACGTTCCGGATGGAAAACAGGTTTGGTCAATAAGGAAAAAAATGATCGTCAGAATCGCCGACCCACGTGAAACTAATCGAACGAATCCATAACGCTAACGTAGTTTGTTATCTTAATGTCTTTGAATTTGTCCGCTTATTTTCAGCAACCATAAATGTATCCGATAGCTTTTGGATCAGGTTATGCATTTTTTACTTAATTTTTCACGATTACAGATACTAATAAAGTGTTTTTTTTTTTTTCAATTACCGTCGATTCCCGTGTAAAATTGCATTTCTTAAAATTTGTCCGGATCATCGGAACGAATCGCGTCACGACACGGTGAATGCCCATCAAGCCAGATCGCAAATCTAAGGCCTTTTCTCGTTTTCTCTCCCCCGGAGCGATTCAAGAAAGCGGCATACGCGAGAATACGTCGTATGCGGCACCGATTTCCATCGATCTCCCGTCGTTCCGGTCCGTCCGTTCCTACGACGGACAAATTTTTCGTTCTGCCTGCCTGCTTGTCGCTCATCCCTCGCCCGACGACGGTTCGCTCGACGAATTCAAAGTTAATCTCGGGCACGAGACCGTTCTTTGGCGAGCGAGAGGGGTGGGTCGGCGGCGCTCCCGGGCGACCTGTCATCGTGAACCCCCTGGGAGCGCCGAGCTCACCCTGATCTCTCTGTTACGATAGAACCTTGGGAACCGGGGCCTTGGGCACCACGATAAGGCTCGGTCATTTATAATCCGCTGGCGTAAGTAGCCCTCCTTTCTGGCTGATTGCGAGGAGAAGGAATAAAGGGAACCTCGAACTTCCGGCGCCCAGGCTCGTCCGGGAGATTGATTCGCCGGGACATCACGGGAATTCCGACGAAATTGCATTTTATTCCATAATCGCCATCTTCCAACTCCACGTCACAACGGTAACGATCATACTCGTAGTATCATCACAACCGCGTAATCTGTAATATTGCATCTTGCCAAATGAAAACTTACGATCGATGTGAGGTATCCTCCTTTCTGCAATAATATATATTGTGTGTATGGGCAATGTATCTAGTACACGTTTTTTATAATATACTATATAATAGATAAAAAATATATAAGCAATTTTATGAGCACAGCGCGTATAGTAAAATGAGCAACTCGAAACACGTTCAATAATATGAAAAAATGACATTAGCTACCGGAGAGCATAACCAAAGGCGTCTTAATATCTCTCATTACTGCCCCGCTTCTCGAGTCCCCAGTGACTGTGCAATTAAAAAGCTAAGATTGATAAATGACGGGGAATTAATGCACGCGGGGTGACGGCGAAGTGGGGTGAAAAGGAGGCAGGGGTACGCGGTTGAGCCGAGAACGGAGCGTGTGTACGGGGTCCGCCGGGTCGAAGGGGGCTGGGTGATTGCGGGTGGCTTAATGGTGTTTGTATGCATGGGAACCAGCCCTAGGGTCGAGGTAGTTATCGCCCACCAGGGTATGGACCGAAAATCGGAGCGCGGTTTAAACGCGTCGGAAATCCTGCTTCGACGTACGAGGCATCTCGCGATTTAATCGAAATCGATTTCTCTTAATTTATTCATTGAATTTTTTTTTAATGAAAAATTAACTAATCTGATCTAATGCGTATATATTTTGTTGACAATAAATTGATATTTTTTTATTTTAAACGATTTCAAAAATCCGGTGTTTCATATATTTGTCTTCATTAAGAAAAGATGTAAAAAAGATAAAAATCAGGAACTTTTTGCGGTGGATTCGGACTGATTACCGAGGCGGCACGTGGTGACCTTGGCTCTCTTCTTACTGTTGCAGGTGACGCGAGTAACGCGAGTATCGGTAGCGGCGAGGGTACGGGCGAGGAAGACGACGATTCGACGGGCAAGAAAAACCAAAAGAAACGGGGTATCTTTCCTAAAGTTGCGACGAACATCCTCAGGGCGTGGCTCTTTCAACATCTCACGGTAAGTACTTCTTCCTCATATAGCACATCGAGGATGCTTCCTGTTTTCGAAAGCTTTTCAGCGTTGCGATATCGCTGTCGAAATAACGGATTGTCATTCGTCAACTTCATCCGTGAATGTATCATTTCATGCATATTTTACTCATAATTGCGAATAAGAAAAAAAAAAGTATGTCGCTGATATATATTTGTGGTTATTCAAGCCGTTAATAACTTTTTGTCAAAGCCGTTAATAACTATTGATCAAATAATATAAAGATTTAATTTCCATCTTAATATAAAAATATGTGCGATTTACTTTTTTTAACGACATATTTATATCTTGACGGATCGATCCTATCCGGATTTCTCGTTGAGTTTTCGGAGAAAAAGAACTCCACGTTTCTCGGCACGTGTCGACGTCAATCCGCGAGCAATTAGCGAAAAAAGCACACTCCGTCGAACAAAAGGAGGAGAGTTAAAAAACAATAGAAAGAAAGAGAGAGAGAGAGAGAGAGAGAGAGAAAGAGGAACGACAGGAGGCTAATCTCATAATACTGAGATAAGGAATGATCCGTAGTACGTTGGTGGTAGTGGTGGCTCTCGATTCTACCGGGGCCCCGAGTATCTAATGATTCACGGGTAATCTGAGCCGCAAAAAGCGCAACGCGATTAAGGGGGAGAACGCCAGCCGAACCCCCGGCGTCGACGGCGGTCGCCGCAGTTGCGTAACGTTGCGCGGCTATTCCAAGCAATACATTGTCCCTCACTGCACAAGTTTCTCTATCTTTATCTCTCTCCATCTCTCTGTCTCTCTCTCTTGTTCTCCCGTACTTTGGACACCCCATAGATTTCGGGTGTGATCAGGTTACCTTGCGAGAGCGGTAATCATATTGCAGCTCGGTTAATGCCATTACCGCACTGGGGGGGTTGGCAGCCACCCTCGAAACCACCCTGCAGCCACCTACCGTCCCCCCTCTCTTTCCTCTCCTCACTCACCGTCCCACCGTCCCACCGTCTCCTCTTCTCCTCGCTTCCCTGTATCGCGGCTTCAGCAACCCTCGAACAATGTGTATTGGATATGACGTCAGGGATAGTGGGTTCATGGTTTAATGCATATACGTTGTTTGCGCGATGACGATACCGCGCTCGCTCGTAGAAAGACGTGTCCGTGGTCGGCGCTTCTCTTGCCTCTCGGTTAATCGCGTCGTCGAGAGCTCTCGCGGATATTAACGACCTCTCTCTCTCATACACGGTGCCCAAGTTAAAAGGATTTTAGTGTAAAGCGACGATGGCATCGGGACTCGATGCACCGTCCCTCGACGACTGAGTTTCGATGTCTGTCGATTCGTTCAAAGTTTGTTTCGATGTACGTCCGGGAGTACGGAGAGAGTTTTGCTCGATATGCACGCACTAATCCCCTGTGTGCCTTGCGTTCTCATTAATTCTTATACGTATCAGGACAATTTTTGTTTTAATATGCTCTTATTTAATGCGTTCTCTAAATTATATTTATGTCGAAATATAATTTCATACTATAATTATCTTAGCGATAAAATTTTGATCATATATACGATTAAAATGTGCGGAGTTTAAAATATAACTGAAAGAAAGAAAGAATACGAATGTTTCTCGTTTTTCTCGTTTGAAGTTCATCGGATTGTCGTAAAAAGATATAAATGTGTTTGCTGTAATGATGAAAAAAAAAACGTCAAATTCAAGACGCATCAGAACTCACGGAACTCGTCCGCGAGCGATTATACGGTGCCATCCGCCAGAAATTACGGAGGTTTTTCGCGACAGTCGTCTCGGGGAGCGCCGCATTCGTCTCGGCGTTATTACGAGCGATTAAGCGACTATACCGCGGTCCGGAATTCATTCGGTGGACTGGATACATATTACACCTTGAAAGAGTAACTGGCGCGAGCCGGCCGTGTATTTACTCAAGTGCCAAGGTCTTTAAGCGCCTCTCCCCGACATTTTATCTTTTTTCGCCGAACGAATTACGATCTTACGTTTCTTCCTTTAATGTCCTAATTTCCTGTTTTCTCCATAACGGCGACGCACGCATCTTAACAATCTGGAGGAATCGATGACCTGCCGCGATTTTGTCGCGAAGTGACATAAATATATGTCACAATCGCGGTACAACAATTCGATAACCAACGGAATATTATATAATACGCTTCAAAGTTCCTTGACAGTGCTTAACGAATTGAGGCAAGTCGAAATGGTATTCGCCATAAATTCATTGTGTTTAACGCGAATATGCCGATCGTTGCTCACACCGATTTCGTGTCGTTGGAGCATTGCCGTCGAGAATTCCAGGTCGTGTTCAACCATCGGCTCTGTCATCATTTCACCTAGCTAGTTAAACATTTGGAATCGCGCGACGTCTCGCGCCAAGGAATTTGTTGGGGCGCGCCAATGGTCTGTCCCGTTTCCTAGCAGCTAGCTAGTCCGTATTGACACGGTAGACGGGAAGCAGCCGAGTGCACCGCGGCACGGTTGAATAGACATAGTTTATGTATGTATACACATAGTTTAGATATAGATGAAGAGGAATCGACACAGAGGGAAATAAGTAGCATTCAATGGAAAAGCGAATACTCAAATGCGTGGCGAGCATTGCATTAAAATATATAAAGCGAAAAAAGATAGAGCAAGGAGAGGATAAAGGAGGTAAATAGGTTGCGAGGAATAAAATTGCGAGAGAGATTGAGTGTATTAACACACACACACATATACAGAAAGAAAGAGAGGGAGAATAAATAGATAATAATCTCTATAATGCAATATAATGATTTTCAATATAATTTTGGTGCTACAACTAACGGATATAGAGACACATAAATGTTGCAAATTAAGTATAGAGAAATAGAATAGCAATATAAATGGCAACGCTTCGCCTATTCAATGCATACTTTGATGTGAATTGGAGATTTGAGAGGAATGCAGCATTTATTATTTTATTGCAAGGCGCGGTTCTGAAAAAAAATATCATATTGTTGACTGAATAATCGTTCTCGATTTGGATTATTCGTAACTTCGAAGAAACTATTAATATTATTGCATATTTTTTTCTTTCGGATAACATGTATTTCCTTATCCATATATCTATACGGGCGTGCCAAATTATTAATCAATTTAGATTAGGCAATCCAGCAGAAAGTACGATTCGCGATTGACCAAAAAGATCATGCACAAGTGTTCGCACTCTTGTAAGTCTGTCTTGAATCATAATTTATATGGATTGATCTCGATGATAAGGAATGTGAAAAATCAAATAGTGATCTTTATATCGTTATATGATACTTTTAAGAGAGAGAATAGTATTTGTTATAATCATAAAGTGGATAAGGACGGATAAGAAAAAAAAAGAAAATAATCTCTCCCTCAAAATAATCGATATATTGCACAAAACGAACTTCGTGTATATGGTGGCGGAGTGCAACTGGAGATTAATGGAATTTCCTAAAAGCAAGTTTATGTATTCGTTGGCGCAGATCCCCGCACAGGCTAGCATGTTTTGCCGCGTTACGCTGACTCGGCGATATTTTCGAAAATCGCGACGCTTGCCAATGGCCGATAAAAGTTTTGTACGGCACGAACGTCCGGCGTGGCTCCGCCGCCGTCTTCTTTTTTTTTCAGCGAATTGTTTATCGCCGCGTATGAATAATGTAATAGAAGTTAAGTGCATCGAGTCTCCTGGGAGGAAGTCGATGGTGATCCCACTCTCTCTATAAGTACCGTTTCATGCGTTCGCGGAGAGGCGCGGATCTCTCTTCCGTTCTTCTCTCACTCAGTAATGCCGATTCTCTCTTCTTCTCTCTCTCTCTCTCTTTCTCTCTCTCGCTCTCTCCGGTTGTCATTTTGAAAGCCATCCTCCCCTCGCTGTCAGTCCGACCGTACGTACGTCCGTACAACCGGCGCACCAACCAACTCTGCGACCCTCCCCAAGTTTAATTAGACGGAAGAGAAGCATACATCATGGTCGAGTCCGTGTCCCGACCTTCCCCGGACGGCGGAGTTGGGCTTTCCAGAATTGTGGATACCGACCTAGTACTTCCCTTCTCGTCATCCTTTCTCGTGTACACCTTCGGATATTATATTCCTAGAAGCTCGTTCTATTGTTTTCAAAAAGAAAATTGGTATTTTTGTTATGAGGCTTTAGAATTTAAATTGCACATGTAAATACACACAGCATGCTTCACGTTTTCTTCAATTTCTCATTGCATTTAATATAATATTTGATAAAATATTATGCATGTGTGAAAAAAACTTTAATATTATTTTGACAGAATATACGTTGAGAATTTAATATCAATTAATTTTTTGTTGTTCAAAAAACGTTTCTCGAGGTTCAATCTTTAAGCAGAAATTTCTTGCGAATTTTATTATTTTCTTCTTTCTCGAATAAAACGGGATTGTGCATCGATTTTTAAATATCGTCACACGCTAAATACCGCACGATAAATATTATTAGTTAGCAGACGTAGACAGGTTGGAGAATGCGATAGAGAAGAGAAATAAAATTGAAGGTGGAGTTCACATATATAATCCATTTTAATTTACTGGAGAGACATATCCGTCTAGTTTGCAGTTTCTTGCGACTTTGCTTCTTCTTCCGCTTCGTCGTTCCTTTCGTTCTTCAATTTTCTACTACCACTTTATCCCATTGCTTTACCGTTCTTGCTGTCACTTCCACTATCCTTTCGCTTCTCGGCCATAGCTTGGTCCTGATACAAACTGTAGTCTTCTTATATCAATGGAAACATTCTATGAAATTACATTTGCCAGCTCTACACTTTATGGCACTTTATTTCACGTATTGGATGCTGTTCACAATCGTTTTCCGTAAGCAAGAATTTGTTAGATATATACGAAATTGAAATTGTAGCAATGAATCTGATTAAATTTAAAATATTTTTCTATTCGACAATTATATTTTATTGCTATAATGAAAAATGATTTAAATCTTTATGCGGAGATATTTATTAGGTTATATTGAGAATATACAAT